ATACTATTTTTTCTTTTGACGAATACTTAACGAGATATCGTAAATTAAATGTTGAAAAAGTTACCAAGTTTTCCTTAAATATTTCAAAAAATATTAGACAAATAAAAAAATGTTTCAGATAGAAGTTGTTAAAATTAATTGGTAGAAAGGAAGATATAATAAAAAAAATTGGGCTTTCTGTTTAAAAAAATTAAGTTGACCCTCAACTGATCTTGAAAATGCCCTCCAAATAAAAAACTGATAATGCCATTCTCTTTCCCCTTCGATATCATGGAACACGTATTTTAGCTTTTTTTAATATCTTTCATAGTTCTCGAGAATTTTTACCTGTTATGTTTAAAATTTAGCACCCTTTATAAAGAATGTCCCAAAATTCACGCAAGAAGTAATTTTGATAGAAAACATAGGTTTATAATTAAAAATTGTAAATTTTTTATTGATTCATAAAGTATACAGTATAGGGTTATGTATGAAATAGCATATCGGGTAAATGGTCTCCACGGCTTTGCTGGTACATTTGCACTCTTTTGTTGAAATTTTCCATGTCCGTTTTGCATGAATGTGGCTGAATTTCGTTGATACAGCGTTCAATTTCCTCCTTCAAGGCGTGGGTGGTCGTGGGCTTGTTGGCATAAACTTTAGACTTCAAAAAACCTCAAAGAAAAAAGTCCAATGGCGTTAAATCACATGATCTGGGCGGCCAAATCTGATCACTAAAACGGGAAATTACATGACCAGGAAATGACTCATGCAGTAATTGAATTGTTTCTCGGGCTGTATGGCATGTGACACCGTCTTGTTGAAACCACATGTCGTCCACATCCATATCTTGCAATTTAGGCACAAAAAACTGGATTATCATGTCGCGATAGCGAGCACCATTAACTGTTATTGCCTGACCAACCGCATTTTCGAAGAAGAATGGTCCGATGATGCCTCCAGCCCAAAATCCGCACCAAACAGTGACACGTTGTAGATGCATTTATTTCTCAACAATCACTCGTGGATTTTCTGAACCCCAAATGCGACAATTTTGTCGATTAACCAAGCCATCAAGATGAAAATGAGCCTCATCGCTGAAGATGATTTTGTTCGAAAAATCAGCATCCACTTGTTGTTGTTGAAATGAATAATGAAAACGCGTTGTTCTTTCATGCAGCACTCCATTTTAAAAACCCTGAACTATCAGCTGTCACGCTGTCTTTTGTTTTCGTTGGCAACACTTTACGGCACAAATGGCACAAAATTCAAATCGCGTGAATTTTGGGACACCCTTCATGTACAGGGCGTCCCATTTTAAAAAACGTACCTCGATAATTCTTCAACGAAGCATTTTCAGCAAAAATGTTTCGAACAAAAATTATATGATTTCAGGAGAGACATAAAACAGCTATACTATTTTGTTTATAGATGGCACCACTTCCGAGATATTCACTGATCATTACTTTTCTTAAATGGAAACCCCAATTTTTTGTTACACCGTCTTTTTCTACCAAATAATTTAAACAACTTTTGTCTGAAACATTTTTTTATTTGCTTAATATTTTTTGAGATATTTAGAGAAAACTTGCTAATTTTTTCAATATTTAACTCACGATATCTCGCTAACTATTTGTAGGAAGAAAAGGTAGTACTAGATTTTTTGCTCTACTTAGTCTCAAGAATATATTGTTATTTTTGTTAATGTGATGATTTTAAAATTTCCGAAAGTCAATAAGTTACCAAAGTCAGGGCGCTATTATAACAATATATTCTTGAGATTATATAGAGCAGAAAAGTCTAGTACCACTTTTCTTCTGACAAATACTTAGCGAGATATCGTGAGTTAAATATTAAAAAGTTATCAAATTTTCCTTAAATATCTCAAAAAATATTAGGCAAATAAAAAAATGTTTCAGACAAAAGTTGTTGAAATTAATTGGTAGAAAAAGATGGTGTAATAGAAAATTAAGGTTTCTATTTAATAAAAGTAAAGATCAGTGAATATCTCGAAAGTAGTGCCATATGTAAACAGAATTATACAGGGTGGGGCAATAACTATTAGAATCTTAAATATCTTCGAATCTATAAGGCCCAGAGGAAAATTTGTGTAACCAAAATTGCACGGTACGAAAGGGACTATCATATAGCGGTAATAATTTTTGTCCAGGTGGAGGTGCTTCGGAGATACTAAGGTCAACTTGCGTTTTTAAATGGGAATCCTAATTTTTTATTACACTGTCTTTTTTTACCAATTAATTTGAACAATTTTTGGCCAAAATATTTTTTTATTTGCCTAATATTTTTTGAAATATTTGAGGAAAACTTGATAACTTTTTCAATATTTAACTTACGATATCTCGCTAACTATTTGTCGGAAGAAAAAGTGGTCTTAGACTTTCTTACTTTATTTAGTTTCGAGAGTATATTGTTATAATAGCGCCCTGACTTTTGTTAACTTGCTGATTTCTGGAAATTTAAAAATCATCAAATTAACAAAAATCAGGGCACTATTGTAACAATATATTCTCGAAACTAAATAAAGTAAGAAAGTCTAAGACCACTTTTTCTTCCGACAAATAGTTAGCGAGATATCGTAAGTTAAATATTGAAGAAGTTATTAAGTTTTCCTCAAATACCTCAAAAAATATTAGGCAAATAAAAAAATGTTTTAGACAAAAGTTGTTTAAATTAATTCGTAGAAAAAGACAGTGTAATAAAAAATTAGGGTTCCTATTTAAAAAACGCAAGTTGACCTTGGTATCTCCGGAGCGCCTCTACCTGGGCAAAAATTATTATCGCCTTATGATAGCCCTCTTCGTACCGTGCAATTTTGGTTACACAAATTTTCCTCTGGGTCTTATAGATTCGAAGATATTTAAGGTCCTAATAGTTATTGCCCCACCCTGTATAGTTGTTTTGTCTTCTTTAAAATCATATAACTTTTGCCTGAAACATTTTTTTTTAATGCTTGGTTTTCGAGATATTTTAGAGGACTGGTATTTTTTCCTCACTCTATATAGGGTATATAAAAAGTAAAATAGTAAAGGAACGGCGAAATATCTCGAAATTAAGCATTTTAGGAAAAAATGTTTCAGACAAAAGTTATATGATTTTAAAAAGGGCATAAAACAACTTTATCATTTTGTTTACAAATGATGTCACTTTTGAGATATTCACTGATCATTACTTTTCTTAAATAGAAACCTAAATTTTTTATTATATCATCTTTTTTTACTAATTAATTTTAACAAATTTTGTCTGAAACATTTTTTAATTTGCTCAATATTTTTTTAGATATTTGAGGGAAACTTTTTCAATATTTAACTTATAATATCTGGCTATTATAATTTCTCACATCAGAAGAAAAAATGCTACTAGACTTTTTACTCTATTTGGTCTTAAGAATATATTGTTGCAATAGTGCCCTAATTTTTGTTAACTTATCGACCTTTAGAAAATTTCAAAGTCATCAGATTAACAAAAGTCAAGTGCTATTGTAATAATATATTCTTGAGAGCAAATAGAGTAAACGTATCTAGTACTATTTTTTCTTCTGACGAATAATTAGTGAGATCGTAAGTTAAATATTGAAAAGTTATCAAATTTTTCTTAAATATTTCAAAAAATATTAGGCAAATAAAAAAATATTTCAGATAAAAGTTGTCCAAATTCATTGGTAGAAGAAGATGATATAATAAATAATTGGGTTTTTCTATTTAAGAAAAGTAATGATCAGTGAATATAGCGAAAATGACGCCATCAAGATAATGATATAGTTGTTTCAAATAATATATTATATTATAATATATAATAGTTGTTTCTCCTTTGAAACCATACAATTTTTGTCTAAAACATTTTTTTCTAAAATGCTTAGTTTTCAAGATATTTCGCCGTCACGATACTTTTTATACATTCTGCATATATTGGTGTATTTATACGTACATATAGAATGAGGAAAAAAATGGAAACTCTTAAAAATCTCGAAAGATATAAGTTTTACAGAAGTGTTTCAGACAAAAGTTATAAAGTTATAAGGCTCAAAACGATGTATTTATTGATACTTATCAATTTGACCTTGAGTGGCGTTGCCAAGGTCAGGTCAAGGTCAACCTTTTTAAACTTATAAAACTTTGTAAAATAAAATAAAAAAAACAAAACTGTCAACTTGCAATAATTTCCATTTATTTGCAATTCGACGAATTTTTGTAAGCATCTTATACTATTCTTATACTATTCTTATAGATATGTTTATATGAGAACAATATTTATGAGAGAAATATTTACACAGACAGAATATCATAATCCTTTTTAATATAAATTTTTTTTCATTTTTTAATTATGATTTTTAGTAGTGCAGGATGAAAAAATGCTGATAGAGTTTGTCGATTTAATCAAATACAAAATTATTTTAGAGTCGTGTTAGTTATATTTTTAGTTAATATTTTTTAATTATACTTAATTTAATAATTAATTTAATTTGTTATTTAATTACATTCAATTTATTTATTGTATGTATGTTTATGTATTGTTATTTATTTTTTTACTAGAATATTTTCTATGTGCAGTTTATATATAGTTTTTTACATTAACTATGTGTATAATTTACTAAGGATATATAAAACAATTATAAAATATACGTGTACGAACTCTTGTGTATATGTATCTTTTTATTAATATTGTCCAAGTTTCTTCAGTTATCTGATAAATCACATAAATCCTAGAGGAAGAGATGATGGACCTAGACGGGAATGTCCTTGCATCTCGATATCCTTTCTTTCTTTTTCTTTTTCTCTCTGTACACATCTCTTCTCTCTTCGTGCATCCATCCTCTCTCTCTCTCTCTCTCTCTCTCTCTCTCTCTCTCTCTCTCTCTCTCTCTCTCTCTCCCTCTCTCTCTCTCTCTCTCTCTCTCTTTCTTTCTTTCTCTCTCTCTTTCTCTGTACACACGAACAAACCACTCCCTCGCTCCCTGCTGCCGCTCGTCCGACTCGCGATTAGATCGTGGGCGGAAATCAGTATAACTCGGCGGACTAGTCGCGTCGCGACCGCGCGATGGTGCACATGTTTTATAGGTGTGTCTATATCGAAGACAATCTGCAACGAAACTGTACATAAGGTAGTGTCTCATTGTCGTCGTTGTATTTTTCTCTTCAGGCAATAAACGACAACACAATGACGCCACAAAACTCTGCGCGTTTTTCTCTCTTTTTTTTATTTTCGTTTACCTTCTGACGAAACTCACGAAACCCTTGCCGCCAATTGTATAAGTTCAGTGCTTCAACAAGTCATTCATGTGCTGTGCAACATAGTAACGATCTGCGAAAAGTTATTAGCCGGGGCTATACTGTATCCGCTTCCTCTTCCTCGTCGGCTGCGTCGCCTCGGATTACATCATGACAGACTCGACTTTATCGAAGGCAACGTGAGTACACGCAATCCTTTGCACAATCTATTCGCGCGCACGTCGATGCCAATCCGATGATCCTTGACGATCCGTGCAACCAAGTAACGGCAGCGCTTGTGTCGCGATTAAGACGCTAAAATCACTCCGGGAGTGATATGTTTATCGCGGCCGAGGTTGATTTTCTACTTTCGAAAGCTGAGATATCCTTTGAATCGATGTATACCTAAGGATATTACATATATCTCTAAAAATAAAAATATTTTCATTAAACTATTTATCTATATCATTTAATGGAGCACTTTTGAAATTATCTTTACTTGTAGTCGTAATTTACTTATTTATAAAAATAATTGAATTTTTATTAATTTTAAAAAATTCTTTATAATAAAATTTTTAATTTATTCCTGCTGAAACCACTTTTCAAGTCAAACTTTTGGAATGTTATTTACACCTATTTTATATCCTTCTGTTAAAATAGCACTAAAATTCTAAAATAAAAAACAGATCTCACAGGTTTATAAAAAGAAGTTGGAATAATACCGCATTATCGAGAAATTCGTTAATTTTTCGTTCAATATCACGCTAAAAATGGATGTAACCAGTTGTCGTACAACAAATGCCTTTCGAATTGAGTGCAAAATATCGTTTTCTAATGCGATATCGTTCAAAATATAAGAAAAGTGTATAATAATTATAAAAATTTCTATAGAATTTTGCAGCTGAAGAATATATCGACATTCTGCTTTAATTTATTATCTTTTTATTTTATATGCATTACTTATATTTTATAAATTGAAGTTTACTATTAAAAAATTTGCATTATGTGTGTTCTTTAGTAAAATAAACTGTACCGACGATCCATTTCTTTGTTGCTAGAAAGCATGGTAAAATTCGAATTATAGTTTAGTTACATAAGCTATATATATTATTCTTTTTGTGAAATAATCATACGTAAAACGTTTTGTAGCTTTTAATAACCCTTCGCATGCAAATCGAACGACGTTATTGAGCGACATCCGCGATTTGAGATCGCGTGGAATGTTGATTATGAACACAAACAGGTGTAACAATGGTAACGTGTATTATTGCTAAACTTGTTTTACATATTGCATGTAGATAAACAAGAATCAACATTCGATACATATGTGTGAGCGTATTGTGCTGGTTGTTTTCCTCGTTACGAAAAATCGTGATATATGACGTACAATTTCTCGGAATGTCCTTGCAACGTGAGTAGCTATTATCATCGTGTATCCGTTCAAGTTTTCGATAGAGCTCAGACACAATTTGGTGTGGTGTATAAAACACGTGGTCGAAATTCATGCGCTCTAAAGTGGAGCTATTTTTTCGATGTTTATTGAAGATCTCGTCTGCAAATAAACTGTAGTGGCTGGCACGTCGGTATTGACGCCGCTGCCTGTAGAAAAGCAGAGGGAACGCGACTGTGCCTCATCCTCGCGTTTATCCTTTTTATGGTTTACCTATTTCTTAAAACTCTATTATATATAACGGTGATTCTTCTACATAAAAACGTTTAACTTTAACTCTTTCAGGACTCAATCTGTACGCTCAGTTGTCAAAGTTGCCTACTGATAATGAAACATTTTTAGAATTTCTAAATAGACTGACTTGTATAAAAACAAAGAAAGAGAGATATATAGCCTATATAGCCTATAGGAGCTGATCATTAGATATTAATACGAATATAAATTAAATTATGGAAGGATAATTATGCTTATAATGTTTGATAATACACGTGCCACTCATGAAAAAAGAAATGTTTGGTTGAATAAACCAATTTTGGTGAAATATAAATAATTCAGAAATTCCGATTAAAAATACTAGTATTTTGTTCAAGTTAACCAAAAATCTTGATAATTTAGACTAAATTTTGATAACTTCGGCCTGTATTATTCATATTTTACCAGAAAATTATTTCATTCCAAACATTTTTCTTCTCCCCTTGCTGTTAAATATTATTGTTTTCTTATAATTTAATTTAAATTAAATTATAAGATGTCTGTGAGATCGACTTTTAAAAAGACAATCTTTTTCTTTTATAAGCGTTTTTATTGGTTTCGATAGTCACATATGTACAAGTAATTTGTATTTTTAAAGTATAACATATTTGACCATCTTACACTAAAAAAAATCAATACTTTTTTTTACGTTAATACTTCACCTGATTTTTCTTGATTCAGTGGCACGCTTAAGTCAATTTTTATCCTTAACACATTGGTTGCTATGCTAAATTCACGTCTGAGGTTCATCAAGTCCAAATTCTTGACGTTAATGTTGACAATTCTTTTGTTTTGTCTGTTTGATATTCTTCTAGATATTTAATTAAAGTATTCTTGATTAAACAAATAAAAAACGCTACCTACATGACGATTTGAGTACACTGAAAATAAAATCTAATTGAATTAAAAAAAAATACATTGATTCAATTATATGTCCCACCAACATGATCGTGCTGTTGATTCAAAAACATCGATTATCAAAACAAGAGAATGACATTTTATTTGATTATTATTGCTGTTAAATTAATAAGATTTATTACAATTACACCGATGCTGTTAATACAATAGCATTTTATTTTCCGCGTAGATTCTTGCGAAAATTCGAATATTATCCATTTATAAATGACATTGCGTTTAACGTGTTTAATGACAAATTCTTTAATAAGATTGAGAAAAATAGATCTTTATTTCGTTTATCATCACGGTAAACGGGACTTAACAACGATCTCTGGTGCATACTTCGACATGACTATATAACGACCTTTTGTCGTTGGCGAACGTGTCCACGAAGTATTTAGGTTTCCCGCGTTGTGTTAGCCACGTTCGTATCAAGAGTCACGTCAAGTTCCTTGAAAGCGCCTTCGAATCGTGCCTCCGTCGCCAATGGAGATTGAAGATAAATCCGACACTACGATCGTGCCGTACGTCGACCGAAAGATCTTCGTCCGCCCGGTATATACGGCGAAGAGAATACTGTGGTAAAAATTATTGTAAAATTTTGTAACTGAAGAACATACCGACATTCCGCTTTGATTTATCATCTTTCTGTTTTATGTGTGCTATTTATCTTTTATAGAGGGAAGAACTGAAGTTTATTACATATTCATATTAAAATATTTACTATATTCTCCTTAGCAATATATCTATATTACGCTACTTAACGAGACAAACTCTATTGATAGTCAATATTAGTACTGCTATAAAACATAATAAAATTGAGAATTTTATACGAAGAAAAAAGATATATAATCTCTATACATACGTGGTGTGAAAATGAAGTTATTAACGATCAATCTACGTCGCATTCACCGCTATTTTCTTTGGGTTTTTTTGATTATTATTGATTAACGAAAGAGACAATTTCTCTTGGAAAATCTATTCGCTCGTCGTGACGATCACTGTTGTGTCGCGACACTGTCGCGACACTGTAGCCAATCTACTTAATTGTAACTCGCTATTATAGTTTCTTCATATGTACATATGTACAGGATGTCTATCCTGTATATCATCACGTTAATACTGTAACACAATCGTCTCTAAGAATACGATAATTATTTATTAAGAAATTGTTGGAACATTCTAATATAATAACAGAGAACTTTTTCTTATACATTTTGTAATAAAATTTCACTCGGAATGATGATGAAAATATTGTCACTCGGAATCGTTAAAGTAAATCGTTAAAGTGAGTTTAGGATTGATTTTTACTTCATATAAGTGAATGTTTCGATCGATTAAAGTGATTCGTTTGTTTCTATATAATGGTAAATTACATTATATAAATTCGTTTTATAATTACCAGTGAAAATATTAATTTAATCATCGAAATAGAGAATTTACTCTATATGAATGAGAAAGTATTTAAATTTGAGTACCTCATAGAGATGTGCGAACTATTCGAATTCGAATCGAATCGAATCAAATTATATTAGATTCGATTCGATTCGAATCCGAATCCCTATGATTGGAATCCGAATAATTCGAATAGGAATCAAATACATTATCGTTTGCGTGCATCAGCTACAAAACGGGTTATCTGGGCCTGTATGTTTGAACCCTTAACTTGTAATCAACTTAACTTATAATTAATAACTTAATTATAAATTACTTTAATCATTTAAATATATATTTTATTTTAAGGTGATATTACAATATTTCCTTTCATATTAAAATTTTCCATCATTGTTTGCATGTTTAATAGTCATGTTAAATTTTTTAATGATTTGATTCGATTTCATTCGATTCGATTCGATTCGACATAAAAATTCTTTATTCGCACATCTCTAGTAACTCGATTGTCATTCTACTTTTGAAGGCAAATTTTATTCTAAGATATTTAAAATCTCACGGTATTCATTTGATATTGTTGTTTTATCTAAAATATGTGTGTGTGTGTGTGTGTGTGTATATATATATATATACGCGTTGCTGTGCATGGACATTCGACAGGACGTAATTCGAATCATCACTTAAAATTGTTTGCATGCATTCCGGGGAGGGAAAGAGCCGTCTTATTAACATCATTAAACGAACACGTGCGGCCGTATCAAGCTCCGACATTCTTTCGCTTCGGCAGACATTGTCTATAAAACACTATCGTGCGCTTCCTCTTTTCCGCAGATAAATTCGTAATTTTCATGGTATATAGCTGTTGAAACTTTATTAATTTCGCAATTATAGTAATTATAAACGGAGAAACAAAGAGGCAAGACAAATATTTCTGGGAAAGGGTACACATGGAGAGAATTATATGGAAAAAATTGCTATAGAATTTCGTAATCGAAAAACATAGAGACATTTTACTTTAATTGATTATCCTTCCATTACATATTGTATGTTCCGTTCCATATAGTGTTTACATTTTTTCAATTGAAATCTACTGTTAAAAAATTTGTTATTCTCTCCTTAGATAAACTCTACTGTTAGTTCTTGCGCTGCTAAAAGTGATAAAACCTGAGAAGAATTTATATGAAAAAGGCTATAATATTCTTTCTATGTAGAAACTGGTTGAAATATTCGCAATATCAAACTAATTATATAACATCCTAATATATTATTCTTTATTCTTTAAATATTATTTCGTGTTTTTATATTTCTTACACAAGTTGTAATCGATTCAAATGATTTTTCGAATTATCATTGGTGTTGTGAAATGCAGAAATGTCGAAATGCGCAAGGTATACTGTACTACTTTGATTTTGAATGAATTTAATTGAATCGAGATGTTTCCTATATAGAACATCACGTCTGAACCTGCAAGACGCGTCGCGGTGGAATGTAAACCGGTTTAGGCCCTTATTCCTCGGCGTCAGGGCGGTTTTTTAGTTACTATTATTAGAAGCACACATGTGGCCATGTTAAGCCATTTGTCGACTGCGATAAAAATGACGAGAGTATCATTTAATAAGTGATTAATCATGAACATATTTTGTCAACTAAAAAAATATTTTTTGTGGTCCCTATTATTTCCAATTCGCCGTTTATTTTTTTTACATGTCTATTTTTATTCTACTTTTTTATTAAATGCCAAACTGAAAATTGCGTCGGTATGAGTCGATAACGAACATATTTTATATGGAACTATATATAAAATAATTTTGTGTGATAAATTATTTTGTATATATATATTAGACATTATATTAATATATATATATTAGTATATATATATTAGTATATATATATATATGTATGTATATATATAATAGAATTTCTTAACCCTTTGAATTCTGATTTTTTATTTTGGAAATTCATTTTTATTTTAATAGAGGGACATCAGATAAGTATAAGTAGTGTTTCAAAAATTTGATTTGAAAAGTGGTTTCAATAGAAATAAATAAAAAATTTTATCACGAAAAATTAGAAAAAGAATTAATAAAAATTGAATCGTTTTTCTTCAAAACAAGTAAATTATAACTAATTAGCTCCAAAAGGGCTCTATTGAATAACGTAGATTACAAATATCAATCAAGATATTTTTATTTCTAAAAATATTACATGCTATATCCTTGAGGATACACCATAACTCAAAAAGTTTATAACAGACAATCTACACGCACATACAGTAGCGCTCAAAAATAATTTGACAAATTATTTATTTGAAAACAAAAATTATATGTAAACAAAATAATATTAATGCTTTATTAACATATCTTAAACAATACATACTCTATATTATAACAATATAAATCTAACATTTTTTATTATATGTAAAATATAAGTATAATGGGAAAATCATGAGTTCATAAATATTTTGACATAAAAGTTGTGTAACAAAAAACCATTATTTAGCAAAATTTATGTTTTATCGAAACTAATATTTCATTGCATATTTATTTGCTGAAAATACAACCGCATATTGTTTCGGCATTAATTCAATTAATGCAATAATACGTGATTGTGAAATTCTTTTCTATTCTTCTTTCAAAACGTCGAAGAAACTGTCCTTGTTTGTATAGTTTCGCTGTCTCACATGACGATTTAATTCCTCCCACAAATGTTCTATCGGATTTAAATCAGGACTCTGACGTGGCTACTCAAATAAATATATTTTCTTATTGGCCAAAAATGTCGTGAAATCCTTGGATGTATATTTCGGATCGTTGTCCTATCAAAATGTCCACCCAAGAGGCATGTTCTTTCTTCCGTGAGGTATTATGTGTTTTTCCAAAATATCTTTATACAGAGAATATCTAGATTCATAATATCTTTTATGCGGACCAAAAGACCAACGCCTTTCAGTGAAAAACATCCCCACATCATCACACTACTTCCTCCATGTTTAACTGTTGGGACTTGGTAGTGGACACCGTTTCTTCTGTTCACCAGACGACGAATATATTGTATATATACCATCTGAGGACATCAAATTAAATTTGCTTTCATCGCAAAATTTTAGACTACTCTTTAGATATCCAGTATTGGTATTGTAAACTGTAGTCTAGCTTTCTTACTCTTCGCACTAATCTGTGGTTTATTACTAGGACACCGACCATGTCCAAATTCCTTCAAACGACGTTTAACTTTTGTTTTATATTTGCGATACCATACATTAACTATTTATCATGACAACGCGTGACGTTGAATTCTTTTGCAATACTTGATTGATTACGTCCTTGTTTTTTGTATTTATCATAGCTTTTTTGAAATTAGTCAAATATTCTTTTTGTTTCGGTTATAAGGCACATTTTATTATAAGGTACGTATATAAACTAAACCAGAATCACTGCTTTGTACAGAATATAATATACTTTAATTATACTTAATCACAGGGTCAAAATAATTTTTAATTGCGACATTCTGAAAAATTTCATGATCCTATATTTGTACACAAATATTTCAGTTAGTCGAAATCTTGAGAAAAGAAAGATACTATATTATAGAGGTATCTTAGAGAAATAAAATATGGTTAATTTATTCAAATAATTCTAAAAAATTGTGTCAAAATATAGTTGAGCGCTATTGTATTTGGCTTTTCAATATTTTTTTCTAGTTTCTATTCTTTTCAGTGTTATTCTGTGCACATATGAGTGAAGCGGAATTGTTGTTTCATAGTGCGACAATGCCATGTCCGTAATAGTTTTTGAGGTGTTTAATTGGCATCCTAATCACGGAGAGAAGAGCTCAGAGGAAGATTGCATTTGCAACGGCGAGTCCCACGAGTGAACGGATCGAGGTGTTGCATTCTGATCGCGCGCGATTGCGTACGTGAGTTGTGCACCCTCGAGAAATATGACACGCGTTCGCGCGTGCAAGCGACCGCGGTTGCACAGGCAATTTGAAATAGGCGAAGAGAGAAACTACGGGGACCCTTTTTATTCGTATATATGATGCATTACACGCCATGTATCCGTGTGTTCCTTGTCTCATTCTCCATAACAGAAATAATCTGGACAACAGCACAAAGACGTGAACACGTAATGTGTTCGTAACGCGCGGTATACCATATAACGGGATAAGGATACATACGAATAAATCATGACAGGTGAATATTTTTCAAAATATCGATGATAAAAGAGAAACTTCATTGGGTAAATTTAAAGGTTCACAACTTCCATTTTTCTCTATACGAATGCATCGAGGATATTTCAAGGTCGTGAAGTTTTTTCATTAAGTAAAGCTACATATGTTAAAATAGAGACAATTGAAGCGCATATCAGGATAAATTCAACCATCGCATTTATATAAAGAAAAATAAATATATCTGAAAGGTATAATTCTTGAAACACTTCAACTTTGACTTGTAGAATCCTTTTTGGTTAAATCGAACTATTTTCGTCTGATAAAATTTTTCTGTCATCGAATTTTAGCGACATTCGTCTGTCACACTTCACGTGCCTCACTTTATATAAATGTTTCAACCCCCTTTCCCCTATGGATTATATAAAATCCGTAGACAGTAAAAGTTTTCCGCATATTTGTGCTCGAGAACGCAAGAACGCGAACACACAGACACGTGCGCTTGTTCATCACTTGTGCGCGGAAACGAAGGCCTACAGACAGCTGCGAGCTATGACGTAGATGGATCGCGATTCAACTGCGGATGTAATTACATCGCAAACGAGCCGGAAGTGGAAACGGTCTGAGCGCTTTTACGGCTTAAAGAGCGGCTTTATACGCTCGAATTACGGCGATCGAGCGCGATCGACATCGCCTCTCCACAATACCGAGTCTAAAACTGTGAGGAGGATTTGTCTTTGTGGTGATTGCGAGGCTGAGGGATTTTCACTTCGATCTACGGATCGTCGCGAAGATTTTGTCAATTCTCAATGCGGAAATATATACATATACAAATACAATTTTATCCTTTTCTAATTAATCATTTAAGCAACATAATCGCCGTTTCGTGAGTTACGATATATGCTTAAGCTCTGCGCCAAATAATCCTGACAATGAATGTAATCAGAATAAACTTTTGGTCAGCCCTTGCAAACTTTCCTTCTAGATACTAAGTATTTATTTTAAATATATCGAAAACGACAGTCTTGTGAAAAGTATATCTCTGTATTAACAAATTAAAATAGAAGTGTATTAATGGTATAAAGTGTATTACTACTAACAAATGTAAGAACTTAAATCCAACAGATATGATGACACTTATAGGTGATGCCGAGGGAATCCTGTCGGGGGTTGCTGTTGACCCTGGTGTCGGTATTCGTCGGTCTGTATGAGTCTGCCGGCGCGACATCCAGCACGCAGTATCCGATCTGCAAACCCGGCTTGGAATTTTGGTCCACGGATCGCGCCTCCTGCTGGCCTTGCACCCGATGTACGCCCGAGTTCACGCTAAGTCCATGCGTGTTACACAACGACGCGATCTGCGGTCCGCTGTCGGCTCTGGAGCTTGATTGGTCCTTCTTGTCGACCAGGAAAAGGCCAGAGGCTGGGCAACGTCACCTTGAGACCGTTACCTCGAAGGTACTCTGGCGGTTGTCCGAACCGACGGAGAAGTTGCAGAAGCAATCTCACGAAGAAGTCAGTGATCCTGTTGGCCTTAGTCGAGAGGACAACGGTGTCCTGGACGACGAAGAGCCAGTCTCTGCTTCGCAGCAGTCGAAGGTAATTAAAGTAAAATTGTATTAATACGGAGATATATCGACCAATATAACACAGATGTCAACGTCAATTTTTAGTTTAACCCTTTAAGTTTTGGAGTATCTTTGAAGATATATAGCATATAACATCTCTAAAATTAAAAAATATATTTTGATTGATTTATGTGTTGTTAATAGAACATCTTGGAATTATCTAGTGATAGTATATTTATTTCGAAAGACAATATTTTTTATTTTTTTATCGATTATATCCATATGTTTATGATGAATTTTATGGTGAATTTTACTATAAAATTTTTTAATTTTTGCGTCGTTGTGCTGACACCATTTTTCAAATAAAATTTTTGAAATACTATATTTACCTAATATCTTTCTATTAAAATAGAAGTAAATTCCAAAAATAAAGAAACCGAGAATCAAAAGATCAATCCTTTGCGAATCAAATCGTCAGGGACGCTGTTAATTGATAATTCAACTGTTAAACGACAAAAGAATTTATGTCTCTTTGATTGATGAAGATAGAAAAAATCAATGTGCCGTTTCAACTCGGTGAAAGCTAGTACCACTTTCGCTCTGTTTGTTATGCTGTGAGTCACGTCGTCGAAATTGATTTTAGATGTTTGCGAAACTAATATTTCAACTGACGTAACAACTTTGTTAAAATAATTTTAATAAAGATAACGTTGATTGTAATAGCCACAGGCAGCACACGATCCTCGGGAGAGAAGAAAATCAACTAGCGTGGACAATCTCCCGTGGGACTGGCAGACTGGCGCCCTGGTTCTTGCAGTGTGCACCTGTATAGTATTTTTCTTGGTAGCAGGATGCTCGGCTCTTGTCTATGCGAGACAATGGAGGCGTATGAAAAAAAATTTTGAACCAGGTACGTTAAGACGTAATTTTCAATCAAAGGCCGACGACAGTTCTTTCAATACAAATGTAATAATAATAATAATGGTTTTGAATCGCAAATGGAACTATCGCAAGATGATTTTGACCGAAAAAATGAACTCTGCGACGAAATAATGTGTCGATATGATGATAATAATAACTTTTTCGATCACATAATTTTTTCCGACGAAGCTTCTTTTAAATTGAATGGAGCAATAAATCGGCATAATTACCGATATTGGAGTGATGAAAATCCTCATTGGATGCGTGATATCCGCACGCAGTATTCCCAAAAACTTAACATTTGGGCGGCTTTTTGCGGTGGTATTGTCGGACCATTCTTCATTAATGGGAATTTGAACACGGTGATCTATCAGGAGCTATTGCAAAATGAAGTCATACCCGCTTTTGAAAATATGTTTGACGGGAACATAGAAAATATTTGGTTCCAACAAGATGATACAGGCCCATATTATGCAGTAGCAGTACGACAACATTTGGATAATATTTTTCCAAATCGATGGATAGGAACGTGGTCAAATAGAGTGGCCTGCTAGATCACCAGATCTTTCTTCTGTCGATTATTTTTTTTTGGAGATATCTTAACACGTTCGCGACATCGTGACCCACTGGTGGGTCACACTGGTTTATATTAATAGACGTGCGTGTCCACCGGTGCGGTCACACACTATGAAACATTGCACTGCTTCTGAAAACTCTGTGTATATCAGGGACTCTATATATCATAAGTACGGCTACATGAGAAATGTATCTATGTACTAGCAACATGGTTTGTCGTAATTTTGTTTGTTATAAAACAAACGCAAAGAAGCAATATATTAAAAAATAAGAAATGTATCTATGTACTAGCAACATGGTTTGTCGTAATTTTGTTTGTTATAAAACAAATGCAAAGAAGCAATATATTAAAAAATAAATTGTGCGTCTTTTAGAGTGAACCAATGGATTTATTGATTGTCGCGAACGTGTTAAAAAGAATGTATAATACAATACAAAAGAATGTAAACAAAACCTGTCAACCTCGCGGACTTAGGGAACGTACTAGGTGCGCAACTAAGTTTCCGGGTTTCACACATGGATGGCGCTAACGACACATGTAGTCATACATATCTGAACATACATATCTGAAGTTGTGTTTTTTTATAGCTTGGGCATCTGTTAACAATAACCTGTCGTAATACCAACACATATCGCAACGCAAAAATATTTTTTTTAATAACGAAGATGTCGAGTTTTGTGCCAAATAAACAACATTTGCGGGAAGCTTTGCTTTTCTGCTTTAACTTGAAAAAAAGTGCAGCTGAAGCACGTCGTTTGCTTGAGAAGGCCTACGGCGAACATACACCATCGAAAACTACCTGTGAAGATTGGTTTAAACGCTTCAGAAGTGGCGATTTCGACACTGAGGACAAGGAGCGCTCCGGAAAATCAAAAACAATTGAGGACGCCGATCTGCAAGCGTTGTTGGATGAAGATGATACGCAAATACAAGATCAACTTGCGGAGGCATTAAACATAACTCGCCAAGGTATTTCCAAACGTTTATATGCCATGGGAAAAATTCAAAAGGAAGGAAAATGGGTGCCGCATGAGTTGACTGAGAGACAGATGGAAAATCGAAGAGCTACTTCCGAAATTTTGCTTTTGCGTTATGAAAGAAAGAGTTTCCTGCATCGAATTGTTACTGATGATGAGAAGTGGATATATTTCGAGAATCCCAAATGCAAAAAGTCGTGGCTTTCACCTGGCGAAGCATCAACATCGACGGCACGGCCAAATCGCTTCGGAAAGAAGACAATGCTCTGCGTTTGGTGGGACCAGAAAGGAATCGTGTACTATGAGCTGCTGAAACCGGGCGAAACTGTCAATGGGCATCGCTACCGACAACAACTGATCAATTTGAACTATGCATTGCTCGAAAAACGGCCAGAATGGGACACGAGACACGAACGAGTGATATTGCAGCACGACAACGCTCCGTGCCATCGCACTTCCATCGTCTAGGACACCATCAAAACGCTGAAATGGGATCTGCTACCGCACCCACCGTATTCGCCAGACCTGGCCCCTTCCGATTATCACTTGTTCCGGTCGATGGCGCATGGCTTGGCTGGGCAACACTTGGCCAATTTCGAAGAAGTGCAAAATTGGTTGGATGAATGGTTTCGGTCCAAAGACGCGTCATTTTATCTTCGCTGTATTCATGTATTGCCAGAGAGATGGAAAAAATGTGTAGCTAGCGAGGGACGATACTTTGAATAAACCATTTTTTGTATTTCTCTTGAAATTTTCCATTTTTCATGGATCAAAAAACCCGGAAACTTAGTTGCGCACCTAGTATAATACACCAAGTCGATCTTATCTCGGCAGAGATGAGACGAAATGTTTTAAATAATTTTTATTTACGGCTAGACCATTGTCAAACAGAAGACGGAGGTCAATTTGAACACTTACTCAACTAAACCACACACCCCTACACACACACACACACACACGCACGCACGCATGCACACACATACGCACACATACAGCAGAGAGGGTTTGGATTCACTTAAATTAAATTAAATTAGAGGTTAAATACTACGGGAGTGACGAACTGTGGGGTTCTTATCTCTACTGTGACACACACACACACACACATACACAAGGGGTGTAAATCCGATCGTGCAACTTCCACGCGGTACACTTTGGCTAACGTCGGCGGTATTGTAACTTTCAAGCCCCATAACTCGGAAAATACTTAATAAAACATAACTTATTTGTAGTGTTTCGGGAAGCTCTCGAGATGAGCTACAAGAATATGCAATGAAAAATAGGGAGTCCCATTTAAAAAACAAAGTTGAACTCCGTATGACCTTGGAACATTCACTCAAGGTCAATTCAATGACACCATCTTATGTTCCTCCTCGAACTAAATAAATTTTGTCTGGAACATTTATTTCTAAAATGCATAGTTTATGAAATATTCAACCGTTTGCAGACTTTTGGTATACCCTGTATATATGTGTGTATATGTGTGTGTGTATGTGTTAATTTGATGATTCTGAAATTTTCAAAAATCAATAAGTTAATAAAAGCTGGGGCACTATTGTAACAATATATTCTTGAGACCTAATAAAGTAAAAAAGCTAGTATTATTTTTTCTTCTGACAAATATTTAACGAGATATCGTAAGTTAAATATTGTAAAAATTATTAAGTTTTCCTTAAATATTTAAAAAAATATTGAGCAAAAAAGAAATGTTTCAAACAAAAGTTATCCAAATTACTTAATAGGAAAAGATGATATAGTAAAAAATTGAGATTTAAGAAAAATAATAATCAATGAATATCTTGAGAATGACGCCATCTGTAAACAAAATGATATAGTTGTGTTATGTCCTCCTTGAAACCATACAACTTTTGTTTGAAACATCTTTTTTCTAAAATGCTTAATTTTCGAGATATTTTGCTGCCCTGATATTTTTTATACACCCTGTATAACATTTTATATGCAGTTTCCTTTGACATTATAAAGCTATTCCTCTGAAAGCTATCTCTTTAAAGAACAGCAGTAAATTTTTGTTTACATTGTCAGAAAGATCCCTCGAATATATAAAACTTTCTCATGAACAACTTTCTGATACGACAAATATTTTTAGAGTTTTTGAGTTGTCACATTTCATTTTAGGTCACTTGTGTGCGTGGGCGTGTGCATGTGCTTGCGTGCGTGCATGCATGCGTGCGTGCGTGCGTGCGTGGGTGCGTGCGTGCGTGCGTGCGTGCGTGCGTGTGTGTGTGTGTGTGTGTGTATGTAAATTCAAATGATTTTGAAGTTTAATTAGAAAAGTGGTTTTAGCAACAAAAATACAATTTTATGAGAAATTAGAAAATTTATACGAAATCAATTTTTTCTTTTAAAATAAGTAAACTATCATTAATGCAGCTGCAATGTGCCATTACATGACATAGACCAAATCAATTTAATTACTTTTATTTTTAGAGATATACGACATATCTTTAAAAATATACATTGAAGTTTGAAGAGCTAAAGGAACAAAAAATGATTAATGTTGAAAGGTAAACCAGTAAATAGTATAAACTAAAATATAATTTAGTATAAATATTAATATATTTATTTAAATATTGGATTAATTATATTCTGATTCGTGCATTATTTAACGTACATACTGGCGCTTTTTTCTTTCTTTTTTCTTTTAATATTGATTCAATATCTATAGATCTATAGATAAAACATTCTTATTAAATTATTTCGAAAGTAAGCAGCCTGAATGCTGCTCTTGAAAAGTATAATAAATTCGGACACTTTCGAGAATCTTCGAGGTGAGGGAGCGAAATTTTTGTGAGTAACTTTTATTACACATACTTCTGGCTGACGTCTCTGACGGCTCCACTTTGTAATCACTCCCAATCGTTCATCGGTATCGCGTCACGTAATTCACGTAATCGGAATAATCATGGCGACTTTTCCATTGCCATTCGTACGATGAACGATCACTATGCATCCGCAATACTCCTCAAAGAGGATTCATATCTCATGAGGCAAAGGAAGCCGCGTTCGAGATGTAGCGGAAGAATATCGTTGCGTGTGTGTAGTACACACGCAAGCTAACAAGGAATAGAGAGGAAGACGTAAAGGGAGAAAAGGTAAAGAGAAGGACAAATAAAACGATCTAGAAGGGGAGGAAGAGAGAGAGAGAGAGAGAGAGAGAGAGAGAGAGAGAGAGAGAGGAGAACGAGGCAGAGTCCCTTAAAATGCGCAACAGGATTTTCTTCATTAGAGGGCTGATCACGGCCACTCTTCACCTTGGATCGACCTACCGCGCCCGGATGTGACGTCTCCTGCGTTGAACGCGATGCGTACGTCGTCCGCGCCATCAACGTCGCGCACTTCGTTCCGTGTTCGTTACATTTGTTCGCTAAATAGGCATTAAACTGTCATATTAATTATCCCGTGAAGATAAGTAACATCCGACCTCCGCGAATTTCCTTTGACCTCTCGTGTTATATATCTTGATATATGAACCCGATTTTTCATAATTTCTAGAAATCTCATATATACAAGTTAAAATTCTTCGAGAATATATATAATCTCAAGCATCTTTTGTCTTCTTTTTTTTATGGATGTCACATACTCCACATAAACTATTTCGTGAAATCTAATTGGGATTTAAATCGATTACTTAAGAGAATTATGAATTCTAGGAAATCTGCGAAAAATCAAGTTGAAAGAATAATGCTTCAAACATATACATAAATAATTTCAAGTGGAAGTCTACACAGATTTCATTTGATTTTCCAAATATATCTCCAAAAATCTTTAGTTTCTATTTTATATTAGAATTTAACGAAATATATGAAAAACTTTATATATTTCATAATTATAAGTATTTAGAAAATAAATATACAAAGTATTTTATTTTTTAAATTTTCTTCATTTTTTACTTTTTAAAGAATTCAATAATTAATATAATAATAGTAGTTTCTGTTTGATTCCATAAAAATATATTAGCTATGATTAATACTTTTTCAATACAATTTTAATTAAACTTTTTTTCTAATTTTCCATGTTTTTTCGTAATTTCTATAATTCCACAATTTTTCCATAAAATTACACCAATTTCCGCTAAGAAAAGAAAAACTCTAATATTTAACCCAAATATATTTCTATTTTGATTCTAGACAAAGAAAACTTATACATGATATGATGTAGAATAAGAATAAGATTTCCAGTTGGTACCGTACTGCATTACTTTTTTAATTAAATTTAAATTATTTTTTAATTTTTAAATTAAGGACCTACGAAAAAAAATTTCAATTTTTAAATTAAGGATAAATTTAGGGATTGATATAAAAAATGTAGTATTTGAGCAAATCTTGAGAAATTTCTGTACCGGAGGAGCTGCTTCTAGAAAAATTTCGAAAAATTCCTATACGGTATATAATTCATATACACAACGGCGCGAGTGCTACTTTTATAAGCAGTGAATCGTAATCGCGTAACACTCCATAGAACCAGCGGTACGTTGTACGTGTGTACGACGTTACTAGTTGTATTTGCATAATGAGCAGTACGCAGAATTCTTTGTAGAAACCCTTCCTCTTGCCTTTTTCTCTCTTTCCCCCTCTCTCTCTCTCTCTCTCTCTCTCTCTCTGCCTCCCTATCTTTTTCAACGCTGCGACGTATTGCATGTATATGTCTGTGAGAACCGATTCAATCATGTTTCATTAATGGGCGCTATATGAATGAAGACTCTCGTCCGGCGACGGTATATCACCGTTTAAATCTACACATTCAGTGAAATGTAATCCACGCAACAATGATGACATGCGAAAACTATTCGCCAGTAAATTATACGCGACAAAACATTCGCATTATCTCGCTTTTCATATTTCTATCGTCAGTCTCATTACACTTAGAACCTAAGCGTGAGAAAGGATAGTTGCGAAGAATTATTGTGTACTACTGTCGCGATAAAAATTGAAATTTCACGGGACGAGCATCCGACAAGCTATCGTTGTTATCTCTCGTTTCGTATTTCAAGAGGCGCTTCTTTATATAAAAATAACACCGGCTACCTCGAGCGTGTTGCACGCAAAATCCGTTTAATTTTATTGCAACGGAGCCTCATTAATATTTATCTCTTTCGCGAATTATGTATATTGTTAATTAATACCAATTATATGTAGTATGTACGCACATGTTCGAGAAATTTATTATCTCGTATAATATTAAAAGAAGAGAGCTGTATTTTCTATTCTTCTTATTTCCACCTCGCTCATATACGCAATTTTGTAGTACGTATCATCGTATTGGGTTGGCAAATAAGTTCGTTCGGTTTTTATTTCAGTGTAAGTTTCATGCGGATTCGTTTTTCTTTTCTCAGCGCTATTGTGCAAATCGAATACACATTTGAAAGATTATGTATTACTGTTTATGTTGTGCTGTGGTTGGTTTGGCTAACATTTTATTGTATTGTGTGTCCTGCGTAGCTGTAAACATGGAAATAAATAACGTGCATTATCGTCACATTTTGCTCTATTTTAAAAAAGGCAAACGAGCTGCGGATGCTCATAAAAAGATATACCGTGTGTATGGAGATGATGCCTTAACAGAACGCGTATGATAAAAGTGGTATGCCAATTTCGACGTCAATGATGCGCCCCGCTCCGGTCGCCCGACCGAGATTAATTCAAATGACATTAAGGCTATAATCGAAGTAAATCCATCCCAATCGGTACGAGAGATTGCTACGACATTGAATATATCCCATACAAGCGTAGAAAAGCATTTGTGCCAGCTGGAATACGTTTCTCGGCTTAAAGTTTGGGTGCCGCATCAATTAACCGAGGCTAACTTGACCACACGCATATCCATCTGCAATTCGCTACGGAAACGCCAAGAAAACGACCCATTTTTTAAACGAACGTGACGGGTGACGAAAAATAGGTCGTCTACGATAATGTAACGCGTAAAAGATCATGGGGGCACAGCAGCGAGCCACCGCAAACAACCTCGAAGGCGCGATTGCATCCGAAGAAAATAATGCTCTCCGTATGGTGAGATTTCAAGGATGTTATCTATTACGAACTATTACCGTCAGGCAAAACGATTGATTCAACTGTATACTGTTCGCAATTGACAAAATTGAGCCAAGCAATCCGCACAAAACGTCCAGAATTGGCAAATCGCAAGGGTGTTGTCTTCCACCACAACAACGCCAGACCTCATACGTCATTGACCACTCGGAACAAATTGCTTCAGCTTGGCTGAAATGTTTTGCCTCATCCTCCGTATTCATCGGATCTTGCCCCTTCCGATTATCATTTATTCCGGTCGCTGCAGAACTCTATGAACGGGAAAACCTTCAAGGATGAAGAGGCCGTTAAAAATCACCTGGATTGGTTTTTCGCCGATAAGCCCCAGACGTTTTACGAACGCAGTATAATAAAGTTGGTGGAAAGATGGCTAGAGGTCATCGATAAAGATGGCCAATATATAATTGATTAAAATTTATCTTGTGTATCAAAAAATGGTGTTTTATTCTACCGACTAACTAAAAAACCGAACGAACTTATTTGCCAACCCAATATTATCGCCGTACAACCGATTATTGAAGCGTTTTCATGTGTCTCGTCCGAAAGGAAAAGCGCTATTGCACTTACATGACTATACATAAAACAAGCATGATTGGCAACCGTGAAATGAATATTCAGCATGCGTGTGTAATCGATACCGTTCGATTGTGGCTGATGGTCGGCCCACCCGCTGCTTCTGATTAGCAGCAACGGTCGGTGGACGTTAGAGAGGAAGTGAGGACTTTATGGAGGATACCGCTTGGACCGAGAACCATTAGGGAAATTGTCCGTTTATCATGGAACCCCCGGAGAAAACTGAGTCGCATTCCACGAACGTTTCCGATATGTTCTTAACGTCATCGAATGTTCTTGAGGTCTTCGGATGAAGCTTCTTCGAACGAGGCGGAAGGAGATTATATGTCATTGGTTTTAACCCGTTAAGTCTCGATGTATCCTTGAATGCGGCGTATGGTATCTCTGAAAATTTTGTCGATCTCCTTACGTAGTTTAATGAAGCTCTTTCAACCTTATTTCTAATATGTTCCTATTAAAATCACTTTTTACGTCATATATTTGAAACATTATTTACCTAATCTCATCTTCCTTTATTAAAATAATTTTAAATTTCTAAAATAAAAAAAAATAAGATATCGGAGCTCAAAGAGTTAAAGAGAATTGCGTCTGATAAATAATGTAAAAGAATGACGTAAAAATTCGATCATCAAAGAAACTCATATTTTAAATTATAATTGTTCAAATAACTTTTTCTCTCTGCAAAGGCTCTCATAGGATTTTCCCCGAATTGTTCGAGGAATTCGCGATTGCCGCATATCGCGACACGCATTTCCTGGCTGTCTTATGAATTGACAGTGATTGTTGCTTTTAGCGGGTCTCGAAGAAATCTCGGCCAGGTTAAATTTGATGGTGAAAGCAGAGTTAGCCGAACTGGTCTCAGGAGCTCCGATGAATCCAGGTGATCCCGAGACTAGATGTCAATATCTCGAGAAACTTTTAGGTAAGTTTTTTGTCAGAATTTTAAGATGCTCCACTCATATGGTCATAAATTCTCGATGATCACTTGACTCTACATGTCAGATTATTGGTCATCAACCTTCTAAAGTGTTTGATGTATGTCTAGGATAAAGATCAAATATTTGCGAGAGTATTCGATGGTGAAACTATTGGTCCTTGGTTATTTTCGATGTCTGCTTTTGAAACTGAGACATTCTAATTAATGCAAATGTTGTTTTTTATATTTTATATTTACATAATATACCTATTTTATACATAACAGATATACTGATTAAACATTTTTTTATAATTTATATCTTATAAACAAGAAAAATTTTGTAGTAAGAGATAATTAAGATTGAATTTTGTAACCGAAGAATGTATCGACATTCTGAGACTTAATTTATTATTCTTTCACGTCTGTTATTTATATTTTAAGAATTCAAGCCTACTACAATGTAATATTCACCACGTTCCTTAGCAAAATAAATTTTACTAACAGTTTATTCCTGCATTACTAGAAAACATGGAAAAATTAAAAAAAGATTTTATATAAAGAGAATTGTAATATTATCTCTATACGTATAGTACGTAGTATCTATACTATATATAGGGTGTCTCATTTTAACTTTCGCATTAAAAAATCTCAAAAACTATGAAAGATAAAAAAAGCTAAAACACGTTTCCAATGATTTCGAAAGGGAAAGAGAATGGCATTATCAGTTTTTTATTTGTAGGGCATTTTCAAGGTCAGTTGAAGACCAACTTAAATTTTTAAAATAGAAAACCCAATTTTTTATTATATCTTCTTTTTCTACCAATTAATTTTAACAACTTTTGTGTGAAATATTTCTTTATTTGCCTAACATTTTTTGAAATATTTAAGGAAAAGTTGGTAATTTTTTCAATATTTAACTTACGATATCTCGCTAACTATTCGTCGAAAGAAAAAATAGTATTAGACTTTTTTACTTTATTTATTATCAAGAATATATTACTATAATAGTGCCCTAACTTTTGTTAACTTATCGACCTTTGGAAATTTCAAAATTATTAAATTAACAAAAGTTATGGCACTATTATAGTAATGTATTTTGATAGTGAATAAAATAAAAAGGTCTAATACTATTTTTTTTTCGACGAATAGTTAGCGAGATATCGTAAGTTAAATGTTGAAAAAGTTACCAAGTTTTCCTTAAATATTTTAAAAAATATTAGGCAAATAAAGAAATGTTTCTCACAAAAGTTGTTAAAATTATTTGGTAAAAAAAGAAGATATAATAAAAAAATTGGGCTTTCTATTTTAAAAAATTAAGTTGACCCTTAACGGACCTTGAAAATGCCCTCCAAGTAAAAAATTGATAATGCCATTCTCTTTCTTCTTCGAAATCATGTTTTAGGAAAACGTGTTTTAGCTTTTTTTAATATCTTTCATAGTTTCCGAAATTTTTTAATGTGAAAGTTAAAGTGGGACACCTTATATAATTAAAATATTGTAGTTTTATATATATATCTTAAATAATTTAAATATTTTTAAAATATAATGTTATATATGTCTTAAATAACTTGTAACTTTTTCAGAAAAACACTTTTACTTTCAAAATCGGTACAATGTATTGCGTCAGTATCAGTAGACTTATCAATTGTAGCACGTTGCGACACAAAGAACGCGCTGAAATTGGGGTGTAGGATTCAACCTGTGTTGATATGTACTATGCGTCGCTTTTAACAATCCCACTTTCATTGTGCTCAGCCACAGTAAGATATAGTTGCGTGCACGTTTATGATCATTTTGTGCGCCGAAAGCAAGAGGGGCAGACAAGCAATGAAGAGAACGCGGATATGCGGGGAACATGGGAGCAAACAATATAAATTTGCTCGACTCTCTCTCTCTTTCTTCTCCCCCTTCCACCAAACCCCTCTTCCTTCTCTATCTCTCCTATCCATCCTATCCCCTATCTCCCTCGCCCCCTCTCCCTCTCTCCCTTCCTCCCTCCCTCTCCCTCCCTCTCTCTCCCTTCCTCCTCCCTCTTTCTCTCTGTCTGTCTGTCTGTTTGTCTCTTTCTTATACTATGCTTGAATGAGCCTTTGTGTGTGTACATACGGGTTGGTCGTGAAATACCGTTCCACTGACCAGAAGTAATTTTTTGTCATGTTGTGTGGTAGTATCACGAGGCGAAGATTCATTCAACGAATTTAAAATCGTCATAATGTAAAATTATAATTTAATTAAATTACGATTAAATTATGACTAAAGGACTGCACGCGGCCAGTCGAGGAATATAAACAGATCTATTTCTTATAGCTGCATTAATTCTTGTATTGTCTATATTTAAATCTGCAATAAAGTATATACATATTCAACATTAGATAAAAAAGAAAACAAAAAGATTACTTTCAGAATTTTTTATAATAAAATTTTTTCACTTAGAGCGAGTGAAAATTATCACTCAGGTGGGTACCGAAAATAATACTACTCGCACCCGTAAGAGTGAATATTTCAATCGATTAAAGTGAATATATAAAGAAAGAATATGTCAGTTTCATTTCTCAATTTCCAGTGAAAATATTTATTCCACGAGAATTTCAGAGCGAAAAATTTACTCCATATGAATAAAAAATCACTCAAATTTAAGTAATTCAGCTGCCATTGTACTTTTTGAGTGAAATTCACCTCAAGAATCTAAAAAGAATACAAAATAATTCAGAAAAAGTGCAAGTATAACGAACAGATTTAATATAATGAACAAGTTTTAAATATACTTTTATGAAGTAATACATGATTTTGTTAATTTAATGATTTTGAAATTTCCAAAGGTTGATAAGTTAACAAAAGTTAGAGCACTATTGTATAACAATATATTCTTGAGACTAAGTAGAGTAAAAAAGTTTAGTACTATTTTTTTTCCGACAAATAGTTAGCGAGATATTATAAGTTAAATATTACAAAAATTATTAAATTTTCCTTAAATATCTCAAAAAATATTGAAGAAATAAAAAAATGTTTCAGACAAAATTTGGTAAAATTAATTGGTAGAAACAGATGATATAATATAAAATTGAAGTTTCTGTTTAAGAAAAGTAATAAGTGAATATCTCAAAAGTGATACCATCTATAAACAAAATGTTATAGTTGTTTTATGTCCCCCTTGAAACCATATAAACTTTGTCTAAAACATTTTTTTCTAAAATACTTAGTTTTCGAGATATTCCACCGTTCGAGTACTTTTTGTACACTCTATAAAGGGCGCGAAAAGTGTGCGGCATATGCGTCTGCCCACGCGCATACGAGGCCTCATTGACATACATATACACTGCACTGCTCGTTGTCGAAGTTTTATTCATTGTCAGCGCATTGTTCTTCCGCGCGTTTATTTCTGCTACGTATTTGCATTATACGTAATATCACGTTCCGCCTTATTCCGCATAAGGGAGCTCCTTGCACATACTCGTATTAAAGGGAAAAGCGCGTCTGTGCATGCAATATTTCATAATTTATATCGACTATCAACACGGATCTCCTTTACTCTTTTCCATTATCGTCTCTAAAATTGTATCGCTATCGTTTTCTACTTTCTCTTAATTCGAGATTAATTGAACTTATGTCTTATATTTTTTTATTATTCTCGCTACCAACGGGCTCTGAGATTTATTTAACATGTGTCATTAGGAACACATGGTGTTACTTGCCAACTTTAATCCTCTTTAAAAAGATCTTTAATCAGTGATTTGTCAAAAATATATCCATTCTGTGAAAATCGTTATCTATTATTACAATTATAAACAGAAATTATCCACTGTCTCATATAAAAATCGCACTATCTCATCACACTATCTCATCGCACGCATTTTTACACAAAAAGTTTAAACCGTTTAATTCCTTCTTTTTTTAATCATACCTTTTTCGTTTTGTTTGTACTTTATATTTTATAAAAATGTTGAAAACAATTTTTTTTATTGCATCTGTAATTTTTATTATTTTTCTTTTTATTTTGTGATGTTCATTGTACTAAAAGAATAAGTTTCATGTATTCCTGTTACATAGGTTAACGATAATGAAATTTCTATTTCACAAATTTCTTTCAAATCAATAATTTTCTCTGTACTTCGTATACTCGGTAAATTTCGCGAATATACACTTTTACAGAGAGAAAAAGAGGTGAAGAAGAGTAACATTGGGATTTTGTGTTGTCTCCGAGAGAATCTTGCAACTTTCCTCACCACCACGATTAGCGAATTGCATTTCTCGCGAATCACGAGAGTCGCGGAGAAACATGTGCGCATGTGCGTTATGTCAGAGCGCAGATTTTTAATTTCGTACTGCACCATGTTCCCGTCGGTATATTTTAAGAAGTAGTAGCTGTTTGTAGTAGACGGACCTTAAAACAGACTCACTCGTATGTCTAACTCCGTTGCACTCTCGCGAATTATTTATCGTTTATGAAACCAAAATGACGTGATTGTACGGACGTTTATCTTCTGCCTTCATTCATTCCTGAGGCTCGGCACGTCGCACCGCTCGCCACGCGCCTTAGCGCGCTCTAACTTTAGTACGCGCACGCGTACGCACCGCGTCAGTGGTGGATTTTTGGATATATATACATACGTATATATAGGGTGTCTCAAAAATATCAAACCCCTCGGATAACTTTTCAGGATCAAATTTTCATGAAAAACTTTAAATATAAAAGTTGTAGGAAATCGAGTAACAGATTTGATGGTGACCTTGAATTTGACTTTGGCCATGATCTTCAAGGTTATTTGGAGGTCAAGTTGAAAAATTTAAATAGGAACCCCTATTTTTATTACACTGTTTTTTTCTACAATTAATTTGAACAACTTTTGTCTAAAACATTTTTTATTTGCTTAATATTTTTCGAGATATTGAGGAAAACTTGATAACTTTTTCAATATTTAACTTACGATATCTCGCTAACTATTTATCGGAAGAAAAAGTGATACTTTCTTGCTTTATTTAGTCTCAAGAATATATTGTTACAGTAGTGCCGTGATTTTTGTTAATTTGATGATTTGAAATTTCCAAAAGTCAGTAAGTTAACAAAAGTAAGGGCTCTATTGTAACAATATATTCTTGAGATTAAATAAAGCAAGAAAGTCTAGTACCATTTTTTCTTCCGACAAATAGTTAGCGAGATATTGTAAGTTAAATATTGAAAAAGTTATCAAGTTTTCCTCTAATATTTCAAAAAATATTAGGCAAATAAAAAAATGTTTTAGACAAAAGTTGTTCAAATTAATTGATAAAAAAAAACAATGTAATAAAAGATAAGGGTTCCTATTTAAATTTTTCAACTTGATCTCCAAATGGCCTTAAAGATCATAGCCAAGATCAAATTCAAGGTCATCATCAAGTCCGTTACTCGATTTCCTACAACTTTTGTATTTAAAGTTTTTCATGAAAATTTGATCCTGCAAAGTTATCCGGGAGGTCCGGTAGTTTTGAGACACCTTGTACATACAGTGGCGTGCAAAACTTTTGAGCCACACAATTATTATTATATATTCATTTCATAATGAACGCTGAAAACTTTACATATATATATAAACAAAATATATTTATTTGTCCTACAATTATATAAACTTTATAAACTCTTAATAATTCTAAATACTTTATTTTTATACAATGTCTTATTACAAACAGTGCAAAAGTATTGCGCCAAAAAGTTTTTTTATACATAAGAAAAATATATTATTGAAAAATAATAACAGAAAATTTGTCAACGTTTTTTCAAACTTAATACTTTGTTCCCATGCTTTTAGAAGCAATCATTGCAGCATAACAGCGAGGCATTGATGCTATTAAATTAGAAATGCGATCTTGAGGTAAATTTTGCCATTGAGTTTGCAAATCTTACCACAATTCAGCTTTATTGGAGTGTTTCTTATTTCCTGTACGTAGTTTGAATTCTTGCCATAAATGCTCAGTAGGATTCAAGTCCGACGATTGCGAGGGCCAATCAAGAACATTTTTTTCACGATAAAAAATTCTTTTATTAGTTTTGATGAATGTTTGGGATCGTTATCTTGTTGGAAAATCCAACCACGTGGCATGTTTCGAGTTGCATATGGCAGCATATGCTGTGTCAATATATCTCAATACATTATAGCGTCCATAGTACCCGTGATCTCAATTAATGGACCAACTCCATTATAAGAAAATGATCCCCAAACCATCACGTTACCTCCACCATGTTTTACGGTAGGAATTTGGTATCTTGAGTTACATCTTGTGCCTGTTGGACGTCGTATATACTTTCTACCGTCACTTCCGAATAACTAAAACTTTGACTCGTCAGAGAAAAGTACTTTTCGCCAATCAACTTCAGTCCAATGTTCAAGTTTCCTTGCAAAATCTAATCGAGCTTTCTTATTTTTTGCACTAATTAATGGTTTTTTTACATCAGCACGTCCTAAAAGACCTACTTCCCTTAGACGTCGAGATATTGTACTTCGACTAATATCAGCAACATTTCCTTCTCGTAGTTCTCGAGAAATATCCATGGCAGTTTTTCTAACATCTGCTATCGACTTCCTTTTAATCATTTTATCGATGCGCTTTGTGGTTTTGCGAGGTCTACCGTTTTGTGGTTTATCAGCTAGAAAGTTCGTTAACTTATATTTAGCAATAATCCTATTTACAGTACTTTTATCAATTAATAAGCAATTAGCAATTTCGCGAGAAACCTTTCCTTGTTGAGAAAAATTAATCATCACGGCTTTGCGTAACTGAATGCTTGTATGTTTCGGCATTGCGATAGACAATAGACTGAATCTTAGTTAAAGCAAATATTTACGAAGGAGTTTTATAAGAAACGGAGTTTTATAAACAAACCGGACACATAAAGTCACAACAAGAATACGGCTCAATACTTTTGAACACATGTAAATATCATATGACTAAAT